ACTATTACAAATTACCATCTGCAGTGCATAGCTTAGTTCACAGGTATCAGTATATGATTGTGAGTATTTTTGAGACAGGATCTCACTATGCACTTCAGACTGGGCTCTATTCATTTTATAGCCCAGGACAGCCTTGAATTTGTAGAGACTTTTCCTAGTTGTGCCTCCAAGTGCTAGAATTATAGGCCTATGCCACCATATCTGGCAAAGTATTTAGCATTTTAAAACAAATCTTTCAATGTATTATTTCACGTGCTGGAATGAAACACCTGATACCTAAAGTTAAAGGCAAAAATGTTGATTTTGATTCAAGTTTATAGAGGTTTCAGTCATACTCAAATACATTTAAGAAAAAAAATTAACTGTCCATCAATAATTTGTATAGAAGAAAAATATCCTTCAAAAATATAGGCAAAAGAAAGATATCCTCTGATATATAAAGGGTGAGAGAAAAATCACTACTATATATCTGCCTTGTAAGAAAAAATAAACTGTCTTTCAAGTGATCTACTGGATGAAAAACAGACCAGACATGACTAATGTGAATTGTAAGACTATTAAAATAGTATTTCTTGTCTTAAGTTCTTTAAATATTCCATTATACAAAACAATAATTGTACCTTGCTTGTTGGATTATGATACATGTAAATGTAATGCATCCTTCAACACAAAAGGGTAAGGAATAGCTAAATAATACAACACATTTTTTTGTAATTTACCATAATTGACAGAATGTATTTAAGGTAGAATATGCTAAATGCATATGCACAATATAATTATCAGAATCACCCACATTATATATTATTAAAAAAATCTATTAGTAAAATGAAATGGTATATCAAAGTACAGATTTAAAACAATGCAGTAAAGGAGGAACAGATAGTAAGTAGCAAATTACCAATTACATTTCACATATAACTATTATTACATTACATTAAAATGTTTTACACACTCAATTTAAAAATCAGATTGTTGGACTGTGTAAAAAGCAAGAAGTTAAGTTTTCTAAAAAAAAAAAACAAAACAAAAAACAAACAATGCTATTCTAAAACAGAACTGAGTTTAAAGGAAAAGGCAAGGGGCTGGAAAGATGGCTCAGTGGAATAAGTGCTTCCATGGCAAGCACAAGGCTCTGAGTTCAATCCCCGGTTCCGCAAAAATAAATAAATAAATAAATAAATAAATAAATAACTAGAAAAGCAGGAAAAAAATACCAGTACAACTATAACAATAAGAAAGCTGGAGTAGCTATCATCAGAAAAGATAGGGTGCATTTAGGGTGGTACAGCTACAGACTTGAGTAACTAGAGTAGATACCAGGCTTAAGACAAAAAGTATTCATCAGATAAAGAACTCCATATAATGATAATAGGGCCAATATTTTCAAGACATAAATACTATAGATGTACTTACATCTAACAAGAAAATTTCTAAATACATGAAACAAAAATGATAGAATGTAAAGAAAAAACTAGAAAACAAAAACCAATACTTGTCATTCTTAATATGTTACACTCAATAACTAATGCAATCACTAGGAAAAAACTCAGAAGGTCCATAGAAGAGTTGATTAATACTATCAACACAATAAAGAAGAAATAAAAAATCTTAACTGATCTAAAACAAAAAAATTTGATTAATAACCTAAATACTACTCAAGAAAACAAAACATACACCAATACCACATAGTTTCACTGACACTTTAAAGAAATGATGTCACTTCTTTATAAATTTTTCTAAAAACAGAGGAAAAAAGGTTTTCTAATTTCTCTTTTGAGAACAGAATTATTTGGCTATTAAAAACAAAGTCCATATGAGAAAATGACATACAAAAATCTTTTAATGAACATAGACATAAAAATATATTTTTAAAATAAAATAATGTATCTAGCACTATAGGAAAAGTAGAGCACACTACAGCTAAATGGGATACAGCCCAGAAATACAAGGTTTCTTTAGCTGACAATTTAACTAATAATGTAAAATTGGTTAATATAATGTACAAAG